TTAGTGCACTTACACTCTAAACAGTGTATATATATATATATATTATTTTGTGTGTGTGTGTGTGTGTGTGTGTGTATGTACAGTATGTATGTATGTATGTATGTATGTGTATATATATATATATATATATATGCATATATTGTTTTTATTTTTAACGCTATTGTATAGGACAGTGGACAGCACTCCTGTTAGCACACAGCTTTTATACTGTATGTCGTGAGCAGGTACACTATCCAGTCTGCCATGGCTCAGAGCATTCTAGTGAATGAAAAGCTTCTTCTGACTGCTGCCCAAAAATGGTGCTCAGAGCTGCACTTAAATTCTCACCTTTTAAGGACGTTTCACAAAGATGCCAGCCAAAGTTTCTATACATTCAACAAGCAAAGATTTTACTCAAGGAATCTCATTACTCTTAATCACACAAAGGTAAATGACACCATTTCAAGGACTGGAGGTTATAGCACTAATATCCTTTTACTATTGCACGGAGCTCAGAATAGCCCTGGCTTGGCCCCATTTGTATTGAAGGGCATCTAGAATGGGTGCTAATTAAGGCCAATCATTTCTTTAAGTGGTGGGAGCGATCCATGCAGTCTGCCAGCAGGTCAGTCTGAGGTAGAGGAAGGCTCAGGGCCTGATTTTTATTCAAGTTGTAATCATTTTAACAAGGAAGAGCTTTAATTGGTCCCATTGCTTTCCTCTGAATGCTTGTGTGTGCCTGCAGTTTTTTTTAGAGACCCCCCTCTTTTTTTTTTCTTGTTGAAAAGAGCAAATTTCATATATGAATGGTTGTTTGTAATAGAGGACTATTAGACCATTAGTTAATGCATTTACTAACAATGAGCAATACATTTAAAATAATATAAATATAAATAGTAAATATAACTTTACATTGTTAGCTAAAGTCTATTAAACTTTTTTTTTATTTAATAATTTATTAGTTAATGTTGAAATTAACATTAACTAAGATTAGTAAATGCTTTAGAAGTATTGTTTATTGTTAGAAGTTATTGTTTAGTTAATGTTAAACAATGTAGTTAACTCATCTTAACAAATGAAACCTTACTGTGAAGTGTTTTTCAACATAGCAGATTTGGGTTGGAAACAAACAAACAAACAAATACAATACAATACAATACCATTTTTTTATTTAACCACCTTCCAGTGTTTCTGCAAAGCTGCTACTTCCAAGTTAGACATTTGTTATTACAACATCACACATTATAGAATTTGAATGGAATATTTTTATATATAGATAGACTGTATAGCATGTATCCACCTGTAATACTGTTTGTATCTGATTGGCAGCTGTGTCTTGCGGAGTGCCAGAGTCTCCTGCTAATGGCTCATTCCACGGCTTCCAATACACAGTGGGCAGTAAGGTGCAGTACCAATGCGAGGAGGGCTATAAGCCTGACGCAAGCAGCCTGCTCACCGCCGTCTGCCTGGAGGATGGCACCTGGAGCAACGTGGCACATCCTACCCACTGTTTACGTGAGCAAATCAAGCCCTCTGTTTCTATGCCAACAGCATGTTAAAATCTACCGCCTCATTGAACCGCCGCAGTCAGCCGCTTTCTTGCTCGGTTCCCCCTCTGAGAGTAATGTAGGGCAGGTAATTGACAAAATTAACAATAATGACTTGATTTTTTGTGGTTTGGCAACTCAAACAAGACAAATGTTCTGATATGACATGTCCCCCCTCTGACCTGAATTACCATTAGCCTACAAAGCCGACTAAAGAGCCCACAGCCAAATAACCAAGTATTATGCATTCAGAGGGCACAGCGAGAAAGACGCTCATTACAGCCGATGCTGCTACAGATAATGTCATTTAATATTATGATATTCCTCATCATCGTTGGGAAGGAGAAAGGATGAGGCTTCTGCCCTGCTCTGTAACACCATGTCAAGGTGGTCTTTCATTCTAGAGCTTTCAGTTGATAGCATGACACATCCACAGTTTCTGAGACTAGCTGTATTGTAAAGCACTCGAGCTGTTTGCAATTATCTAAACAAGTGTGAGCTGAGGGACATGAAACCTTTGTCATGTAGAACATGGAGAGAGAACATTATGTGAGAGATAAAGGCAGTGGGAGGGAAAGATGTTTTGCTCTACTTAAGATCTTGTGTAGTATACCTGACCTAGCTTGCAAGACTTTTTGCAAGTTTGATGCGCCCGCACCAAATTATGCTTCTTTTGAATCCGAGCTATGCACTGTGCTGTTCGAATCATTCATTTTAAATAAGATAACTGACATTTTAATGTAATTTTAAGCATGTAAAGAAGCCTTTGAGAAGCCATGAAAAACATATATTCAGTCAAGTGTGTCCTAACTTTTCACTGGTATTATATATCTATCCCATAATTCCTGTAAGCTCTAGTTATTCCAGTTCTAGGGACCCACAAGGTCATTGTTTTCCATTAATGCATTCTTTGCCTTCTGTCCTGCAGCGGTTCAGTGCCCTAACATTGAGAGCTTGCTCTCAGAACACATGATGTGGCGTCTCATCTCAGGCTTGCTGAATGAGTTTGGTGCACGAATAATGCTAAGCTGTTCCCCCGGCTACTATCTGGCAGGCAGAAGGACCATCAAATGCTTAGCTAATGCAACGTGGGAAGGGCTGGAGGAGAAGTCTACCTGCAAGAGTAAGAATGATTTTACAGAAACACAGTGACACGCACATGCATTTTGTTTGGTCCATTTTGGAGCTTGGATGTTTAAATCATCAACCACTTTCAGTGTATGCCTATCATCTTTTGTGTTCACGGAAGAAAGAAAATCACACGAAAGTGCATAATTGATGATAACATTTCCATTTTGGGCTGAACTATTCCTTTAAGAAAAAGCACAATTGAATTCCAAATTCCGCTCTTTGGATTTCACGAAAAGATCAATGTGTTAATTACCAAACAGCGTCCATTGTGAGCTAATGAAACAAATTCATTAGGGTAGCTAATATGTCTGAAATCTGGCCGCTCTCTATACCATGTCTCGTTTATTTCTCTACTGATCCAAGCGTAATCCTCTGGATTTAGCATGCGCGCATAAGACGCCATCCACTGCTTAGTCAGTTCTGATCGTGGCCCGGTTTCCACCACTGGGACAGGCTGTGTAAACAGTATCACGGTGATTAAGTCTTCGGTGAAAAATGCTTCAACGAATTTGAGGTCAGAGAGCAAATGTAAATATTCTAATCAGAGGCAGCTTAATTTTTAATGTGTTTACGCACCATGATGAGTAAGTTGTTTATGAAAGGAACAGATGCAAACAGCTGGGGCTTCAATTGTAAATTGAATTCTTAAAATGTCATAAAATAAATGCGTGTTGATTGTATGATTACTGCATGCACCCAACAAAGCTTTAGTGCTGTTTGCTAAGGTAAGCATTGCTATTATTATTGCTCATACTCGGGGTTATGGATCTGAACAAATTCCTTACTCCAAGTATGAAATTTGTTGTGTATTTAATCCTGTATTGTTCACACTACACATGAGATATATCTTGATACCAGAATATCATGGAGACTTTGAGGTGAACTCTTTTGATGAGAAACCACACATAACACCTTAGCATTTAAATGAGCTAAAAATAAAACACCTTGGCAATTGCATATAGACACACGTCAGCTCAAAATTCAACTCGACTCAAAACTCCATAGCACCATGGCAAACGTTCCTCTTCAGGAACTCGAGCTGCGTCGGAGAACGCTTTGGGAATGCCCTTCAGCGTGACTGGCTCTGAATCACGTGTGTAATCAGTCCAATGGATGGGCGAGACGTCACGGGCGGGGTGAAGTAGCGACCAGGAAGCTTAAAATCACGTGTGGTGAAACCGGCATCAGCTTTCTGTCATTCAGCAAGCGCTCTGTGTGTGTGTCAGTCTGATATCGGTTTGTGAGTCTTATTTAGTGTTGTTTGTCACGAAATCATGTCAAAAGCACAAGACAAAACCAAACACCTCAAGGGCGAGGGCAGGCAGCTTTACATTACGGGTGGGGATACACACAGTTTGTTTGTTGTCTGCTTGGGAGCGAAGCACACAGAGTCGAGGGAGCTCTCAAGGGAGCTGACTGCCCGCATTGCAAGCATTTGTTACTGCCTTGCTTCGCTCTCAGAGGGCTCTCTTTGATGAGGGAGCCTTCATTAGCGTTCCTCGCGGTGCCGGCCCTGCTTTCGCCAAGGCGGAGTGGCGGGCGGGCTCGTGGGGTTCGCATATGGATCCGGTGGAGGGAATGTAGACGGGCGAGTCCCTATCTGCTTCCTTAACCACCAGATCTGGCGCCCGCTCTGTCTTTCTCTGAGGAGATTGATACGGAGGGTGTCGAAGAGCTCGCCAGTTGCACAAGCATCAGTTACACAAGCATATTATGCCTAATATTATAATGAGCAGCATTA